CTCCCACAAGCTTCGTCACGTTCACCAAAGAGGACCATACGATCCCGGAAAATCTAACGTCAAGCATGTATCGTGGGGATAGAGCTCTGTCAATTGAATCTAGCAATGCTGGTTCCGACAATGGTTCATGGAATGATCGGAGCACGGCTACAACGAGTGCCTTTGATGAAGAGCTAGATGATCATACACCGACGCCAAATATGATACCATCTTATCTAGCCAATCATCAATAATTCAGACACGGTGTTTTCATACTAGGTACTTTGGGAAAAAGAATGACAAGAAAACGACATACTTAGGCTGCTAGCAAGAAATATATCCATTGACTAAGATACACAAAGTCATAAGACCTGTAAAGCGATGTAGATTCAAGTGAATGAAGCAATCCGAAAGTCTCAATCATACACGCTTGATTTCTAGCCTTCTGATATTAAAAATACATGAACACCATGCAAACTTTCTGTGTGCTACGGTGATTGTGTAGCCTGCTTGATAACCAGTGCCATGTGGAAATGAAATGAGGCGTCAACAGCACTGTGTCATTGTGTGAATTAGACTGGAGCCGGACTCATCTTTGATGTTATTGAACGAATCTTTCCATCTCATCACTCGTAGATAGGGAGATATGGCCCAGTTTTAGACACCCTTTTCTCTCATAGTCCATAGAAAGCCTCATCTAAGTAAATAGTAAGAGCTGGAAAGCTCTTCAAACAGGCCCTCTAGATCTGTACAGCTCGGTTTTGATATATGGCGTGGATGTTCCCTACTTCAAGTTGAAACGTTGTCGCAAAACTTTCCACTCTAGAAGCTCAGTATCATACTAGTTGGCTGGACCATGTCTCTGCTTTCTGCATACACGTAGCCTCGAGTAGACATCGTGCCAAGCCTCGCTGCCCGAATATCTTACTAGAAGGCCTTGATGAAACTTGTATCTTGATCCGAGACTTCTCCTTTATTCCCTACGTATTAGGTTGCTTTTGTAAAAGTCTACGTACAGAGGTGCGCACCATCATTTCCCAGGGAATGCGGGGCTTCCGGTGAAGGGAGGTATCGTCGCCGGGTTCTGAACCTTTCTGCCTCTTTCTCTAATTATTGTGTCTTTGTCGCTCTGTCTTTTTGGGAACGCGACTCCGCCGGTAAACGGCGGGACTTTGGCTGCGTTCTTGACGCGACTAGCACTCTCAACCCCACTAGGCATAGAATTAGCACAAATATAATCTACCCAGAGCTTTCGCCAGACTTACGTTGACTCAACGGGGAGTGCGCTAGCCTCGAAGAGAGATACAGCGATCACAAGTGTAGAGAAAAACTTCATGATTACTATCGTTTAGCTGCGACGTAAGTAGTTTGTTTTGGGTAAAGACAACTCTTTCTCAGCCGTTGGCGAAGTTCGTGAGACTTTATAGTATTCTTAAACATTGGATCGGCCTCGGTGTTTTGCATAAACCCCTTGAAGACCGTGTTGCTGATGCACACAAGGTTCAACGCGACGTTTCTGTGTGTTTGGGAAACACGACTCGCGCTCCAGTGTCGTTTCTAGTCGCCCGGAACGGCCGTTTTTCGCCGAGCGATCTCGAAATAAAGGCGCCTGGTAAACTTTAAGGCCTGATTCAGAAAGCACGCCAAGCCCAAAAATAGGTCCTGCAAACCATCCGAACTTTGAGTGACCCCTGGAGATCATTGTAGGCCTGGTATACCATCTCGAACTGGTGCACGTGATCCAACTACGACGAATTTTGAGTCTTTGATTCATCATGTCTTGGAAATCATCTCAAATGTCCGTCCAATACAGGATATCGAACCCGTTTGGGTCCTCTGGAAAATATCTATAGAAGATAGACGCGATCAGTACCGGTACTTCCATCACTTGGCACAATTAGGTTGTAAATCATTATTTGGTCTCCAAGAACACGCATCGTCATCTATAATTTAATCAGATTGCATCGATGCTGTATCTGCCACTAATGTTTGCCTGACATGCCATCTAAGCCAGTGACCTTACTCGTCCTAGAAGCTCAAGATAAGACATCAACCGCCTAGGCAGCTTCAGCGGCGGCAACTCCCGCACCCGTGGACAAGTTGGCTTTCTTGCCAGTTTCTTTGCCGTTACCTCCGTTCTTCTTCTTGCCGTCGTCAACCGCTGTACCATTGTTCTTGTTTCCAGCCTGGTTTCCCTTGCCGTTATCCTTTCCCTTGTTCTTGTCGGCATTCGCGTTTCCATTGTTCTTCTTTCCATCCTTATCGTTGTTATTGCTGTTGGTGCCGGCATTGGCGCCGGCGTTGGCATTTCCATTCGCCTTGCCGTTGTTGTTCTTCTTGCCGTCGTTATTGTCCTTGCCGTTGTTCTTCTTCCCATCGTTGTTCTTCCCCTTTCCGTTGTCCGCGGCCGTACCGTTATTTTTGTTGCCACCAGCACCGTTGTTCTTCTTGCCGTTGTTCTTGTTGGCGTTGTTGTTCTTCTTTCCGGTGTTCTTGCATCTGCATGCTTTGCCCTTTGCGTCTTTGCCCCTCTTCTTTCCCTTGGCGCATCCTTGACAATTGTTGTTGTTCTTCTTGCCGTCGTTGTTGTTCTTCCCGTCATTCTTCTTGCCGCCTCCTGCCATTTGATTAGCCTGATGATAATAAATGTGGCACTGTCAAGTTCCTACCAGCAGTATTGTTGGCCTGACGTGCTATGAGCTCGCCAAAAGTGGCAGCCTCCTCAATGTCACGGGTGGTGAGATCATTCTCATCATCCTCCTCTGCTCTATCTTCAATCGCAAATGGATGTAAAGTTGAATCTTGTTCGTCTCTGTCAACAAGAGCAGGGCTTTCCGTGATGGCCTCAAGGTCTCTGGCAATCTCGTCGCGGGTAGCGATGGGACCCGCGTCTGTAATAGCTGCGGCGGCGAGGCCAGCCAGGAAGAGAACTGAGATGGGCTTCATTGTCGTTGGAGTGAATGTGAGAGCCTTGGAGACTGGGTGAAGTGGAAATGTGAGATATCAAATATCTAGAAAGATGAAGCTGAAGTGAAAAGAAAGGAAAGCGTCCGGCGCAATGAAGCAATCTGGCTGCTGATGGTGAGATGATGGTTTCAAGGCCCAAATTATTCATGGGAATATCCTATGCTTTATAGAATCCGTCGGTATAGAATCGATGGACAGATATGAGCAATGCAATCAGCCACATATCGAGGTGTGCTGGCCTGACGCCCCCCACACCCCCGGTCTGTCAGCTCAATCACCTACACATCGTGCCGGCGGAACCGAAGGCTGTCAAAATAATCAAGATAATGTCTACAGGTCCGTGGGAAAATGATGTGCATTCTACACAGCCATCGCGGATTTGTGTTCGTCTGGTGTCATGTAAGTGCTGCCATCCCTTCGCTTGGAAAGTCTGTACGGACAACCCAAGTTCGGATTCGGCTGTAAGCGGAATATCCTGTAACACTTTAGACGAAGACCTCGCTTGGAGATTCAGTACGTATCGAGCAATATGGGTAGGTTGTATGATCAGCAAACCAAGCATTTGGTGTCCTGCTTGGGCCGCCGGCAGGTTTGTGCCGATTCATTTAGCACCGCCTCCATTGCTTCAAATTTCCATGGAAAACGAGGAGTAATGCGAAGCTTTTGTCGCAGATCACTGTCGCCGCGGGGAAAGCATCTGCGGAGGCCGAGGCCAGCGGTTGAAGGATTGGAGCTTAAGGGAACAGGCGGCCTGGGCTAACTGACTTGGGCGGTTGGCTCGTGCCGAACAGCTCTGACACCACACTACAGGAGCTCGTGAGTGATGGTCTCCTGTCTCGTGTGGGCTTCCTCTTTGGGCTTTCTGAGACAGCGCTTATTCCAGGCCATCGACAAGCGATCCTTTCAGTCTCATTTTTGAGATGGATTAGAGTTAAAACTGTTGAGCTGAACCGTTTACTGTCCATGAAGGATTCCACCACCTCATCGATCTCAGGCTTTGACTTAGGTGCTGAAAAGTCCAGACTGAGATGTGTTGCGCGTCCCTACTTACTTGCTTAGACGCCCGATCCGGGCGTTCGGCCAGATCATCATCCGAGCTTCTCTTCACAGTTCTCTCACGACGTCTTGAGTAATTGGTCTCGACGTTGCAAGTTGCCCGATTATCCGCGAACTATTTACCTGACGGGCTAGGAGCTTTTTTGCCGCGGAAACTAGTTGCCGTGTCTTTGTTAGCGACAAGCTAGGATTAAAGTTGTCTCAAGTAAAATGAGTGTTGAGCAGGTTTTACCGGGTGGGCTGAGCCTCTTCTATGAACCTTACTTTTCCAGCCAGGTGTATCCTTGCTCGAGATCTATCCCACGACCATGGAACTTACTTGATGCTCTGCCGTGATCCGAGCTGCCCGCAAGTTAAGGAAGGCATCAAAAAATGTGCCCATTATGATGAGATGAGTTCTGTCAGATCGAATGGCAGGCTGCATCTTTCTCCGCATGTGCAAAAACTGTCAGAGGAATAGGATGAGCTCAACCGTGCGGTATTAGTCAATACCTGAGTCAATCAGTAAGGATTAGATGATCAATGACGCTTCAGCTTCATTTAGGCTGGAAAGTCACCGGTCCGTGTTTAGAAATTCTCACGAGGTAACGATCTGCTCAATCTTCCGCGGGATCCCATGATCTGTCCCGATGGGATAAGGTCCTTATTTCTTCATTAATGCTCGGAGCTCCGAGAAGACTAATACGTGACGGCCAAGAAATCTTCCAGTGGTTCTGCATCGTGCTGTAAGAGGCATTAGCCATTCAGATCGCCTCATGATGGACGAAAAGCAAGGCCGAATCTATTACCCCCTTCCAACACATGACCAGGCATTCGAATATTGTTCCTGTAAAGAACCGTTTTCTGTCTACTTCAACCTTAGAAGAACTCGACAAAGCCATAATTCCGACGAGTCTCTGACTCTAAGAATTACGAATTGCCGCACTATTGTAGCATTAAATGTCGAGGATAGATCTACTTGTTATGAATTCGTTGCATACATGTATTTATGTTTTACCTCAAGTATTCAACCAAGAGAAATCGAGCAATGCTCCTGCGGATGGGCGATGCAAAGGATCGTAACGGAAAATGGCCCTCAAAAATGACACGATCTGCTCTTCCTCCTCCTCGCCCACATAGGATGCCTTATGGACCTTTACTAGCTTTTCGAGAGATTCATGGACTTGCGGCGGTACGCGCTCACCTAAGTCGAGTCGTGACCTATCCGCGTCTTCGACTCCATCAGAGCTGCCATCTATCGAACGAGAATCAGAAATGCTGTCTTCAGTGAACCCGTCTATGATATCCGTTGGGACTGTATCGAGTCTTTCTCCGCTAGAATCGTAGTATTTCTTTGCATTAGACCATTTCGCTGCAAGAGTCCGTGGGAGTGGTCCAATGATGTCGGTCAGCTGTATCAGCTGTTCATCTTTCTTCTCGGTATCGCTAAGGCCGAAAGGAGGAAGTTGAAACAGTGCGGCGCCTGTGACGAGCTCGTATACGATACAACCAAAACTCCAGATGTCAATGCCCGTTCCGATAGCTTCGTTGAGGATCACCTCTGGTGCTCGAAGGGAGGCTGGAGTCAGAACAGACAGCGGCGGATCATCAATGCAAAAAGCTGGATCCATGTTAACTTGAATAGTTATAGAGGCTCATATGCGCCTACCTCCACCTAGATCCGAGAGCTTTGCCACCTGATTTTGCCCCTCAAGCATGTAATATGACAAGGGATCCGAGACGGCCAGATATTTCGGGGCCCACCTGTCGAGCTTGCCATCAATACGCCGCAACATGTCTATCTTTGAGGCGTCATTTTCATCTTGCTTGAGAATCTGGCGATCTAAAAGATTAAGATCTTGTAAAGCGAACAGGATGTTGCCTGATTGAAGGTCGCCGTGCACAATTCCATTGCTGTGAAGGAAGTTGAGGCCAGAAAGCACATGCCGCAGAATACTTTTTGTTTTATCACTTCTAAAGCGTCGTACCGGAGGATTCCGGGGATCATATATCTCGACCGGGGCGTTGAGGACCGATGACAGGCTCGGACCCATAGGTTCAAGTACCAGGCAAAGGTGATTACCGTTGGGACCGTCGTGATAGAAGTAGTCCAAAAGACCCACGACGAACTTCGAGCTTTGGTCATTTGATACCTTATTGGCCAGAATGCGATATATCTTTACTTCAGTTGGATCCTTTCGCTTGGCTGCTTCGATCTTCAGAGCAACGTAGCGGTTATAGCTGGATAGGATATCAACGTCGGCTTGAAAATAGAAACATTGGAGATATGGATACAATTGAAGACTTACGACGAATCGAATGCCAGCCAAACCGTGCCAAAGGAACCGTTCCCAAGCTTACGAAGAATCTCGTAACGGCCTTTGAAGACGTCGCCAAAGTGGACCGGATGAAACCCTCCTGGACGATAAGACTCAGCCCACTCGCATGGTGTACCACTTTGAAGGAATCTGAAGTTTCTCTCGGAGTTTGGGTCCTTCGGAGGAGGCGTTGTTGCTGGTGAAGACATCGCGAAAATACAGGTGGCCTGGGAGATGTGGCAGAGAACATGCAATAAGGTCATGCAGAAATTTGGAGTGTTTGAAGTGTCAATTTGGACAAATTGGTCAATAAGCCTCCTAGTCTAAAGGAGGGTTGGCGAGCTGCATTTGAGGAAAGGCGAAATGCGGATCAACCTGAGAGGTCCGGTGTATTAATGACTGATCGGGTGCTCAATTGGCCTCAATTCCGCCCCACCGCTGACTAGAGTTTCAACGATTTGTTTGTTGTAACGATGAGATCAACTCCAGAGGATGCGGCAAATTAGACAGCACCGAACCCTCGATCATTGTTTAATGCAAGAGAAACATTTTCTTTTTCCATCGTCGGTACTCCCCTTTGGTTCTCTCAAGAAGTTGTTAGGGAGACGCGGCTTTCATTGGTGACGTGATCGGGAATGGTGATTGTACTGGCCACATTTATTAGGGAGATGCAACTCAACGCGAACTCTTTCGACCCAGATGTAGATTGTCAAACCGCCTCTTCGAAGTATACGATCATGTGGTTTGAAATGTTCTGCTGCAATCTGCTCAATAAGTCGTGATTCAAACCGCTAAATCAAATGATCGAGTTTTGATCTCGCCCATCCCCACAATCTTATCGCCGAACTTGTTTCCTTTTGGGGCCCTACAAATACTCTAACATGTGAGGTTGCTGCTATTGATTATCTTCCAACGGCAGGAAGCCGTCATCAACTAGACGATCGCTCCAAGTGTACCACTTTCTTGCAAAACTCAGGGAGATGAACTCGTTATATACTAGATGCATCAATCATCTCTGAAGCTTCATGCTATGACCTCGATCTTGGCCTCTTAACCTTCCAAGTTGCAGTCTCAATAAAAGTCGAAATTTTCGGATAGTATAGCAGCCAATATCAAGAAAATCCTTTTTTGCTTGTCCCTTGCTGCTCGCTCTGAAATTCAGCACGTTATACCGGGTTGTGAGCTTTGCTGGGACCAAGCCTGACATGCTGCTCTTATAGCGCAGTAGTAAGTCGAGGGCAACCAGCGTCCAATCCCATTTCCAACGTTCAATTAGATGCACCTCTTTCAGGAAGGTGTGTTGGGAGTCATTGTCCTGCGGCTTCAGGGATCAAAATTTGCGGACACATTGGGAGTCATTGTCCTGCGGCTTCAGGGATCAAAATTTGCGGACACATGTTGTACTCGGTTCCGTTGCAATCAAGCGGACGAAGTGTCTTGGCCGCCTAACTTTGTTCCTAAATCCCTGGCGAGGGAATTACCCCTCATCACCTCACCTACCACGCCATGCAGGGTCTTTGCCCAATATTGCATGCTTGGCACCGCTCGGGAATAACTCTATACGACAAGACAGGCATGTCAGAACGAATCAAGGCAGGGCTCTGCGCGTTGCCATATTTGAAGGCTCGGCTTTTCGCTTGGGACCTTTTAAGGTGAATGTTGTGTAAGACTTTAGTCATTTCAGCGGCCTGTCAGCCAGAGTTAACTTCCGATGAATGACAATCAGCCATCTGTTCCTGATTTTACCCGCAAACCTTCCATCTCGTAACGGATTTCACGTCAATAGGCGGCCGACTTCGGATCTTCAACAAGGATCCCAATTAGGCTTCGTTCCGAATCTTCCACCTTGACTTTAGCAAACAGGCCGGGACCTGTATGAGATGCCGGAGCAAAATCCTCATTGGAACGCACAGTGGTAGTGTAATGCTTCCACATTCAGTTCATGATGGCTTTTACTCCTGCGTCATGACAGGGGTAAGAAGTCATTACCGCCATTATGCTCGGCGCGATACCCGAGCTGGAAAAGTCTCGCCTTCTACTGCGCCAGTTCCGTGATCCGTTTCAAAGAATTCGATTCGCGAAGATATGCCAAGATCCGACTACGGATGTCACCTCGGTAGAAACAAGGTGACCACCGACTATCACCGAGCAGGAAGCTGGCATCTAATCTAATCATTCCCATCTTGCTCGATCCACCCGAATGCAACTCAGTACAACTGAATCCCTGCATTCCGCTTGATTCAGTTGGCAAGATACTCTGCGCCAGGCGGGACGAGGAGCATTGGGAATTTTGGTAATATCCCCTACCTGAGTGTCTACGCCGTTGGCTTCCGTAGTACATAAGGTGAGAAGAGCCTGCATCGTTGGTCATTCATGTTGCACTATCCCACCGGCTAAGGCTCAATGCTGCCTTGTCCCTCTCGTCAATCAAGACTTGCCCTGAGTCCTGAGTAATCGTTGTCAGACGTTACACTTCATCATGGGAATCAAGTCTCTCTTGGCTTTGGCCTCCTTCGTCTTCTGTGGAGAAGTCCTAGGTCAGACGTCTCCAGATGACCCTGAAGCAATTCTTGGACCCATTTCTCCAATCACTATTGAAAGCGGCCGATACATCGTCAAGTTCTCCTCCTCCGGCTCAGCTAAGTTCAGAAAGCGTGACGGAGATCTTGTATGACTCTCTCAGTCCCTGGATCTGTTTTACGAAAGAAATTAATTTCTCTGGCACAACAACAGGACACTGCCGGCTTCTTTACCGCCCTCCAGGATGCCGGCAAAGATGCTTTCCCAGCAGTGAGCTTCAAATCGCAGCTGTTCCACGGTGCTTCCTTTGACTTGAAGAACGATACCTCTGAGACCGTAGCCGATATTCAAGCTCTGCCGGAAGTCGAGAAGATATGGTCTGCTGCACTTTTCTCACTTCCCATCACGACTGAAGCGGTTGTACAGACAGAGTTCCCCACTTGGAACCCTCACAATGACACCAACGTCGCTCTTGCGCATGCCGACGGCCATCTCGGCGAAGGTGTGATAGTTGCGATTGTTGACTCCGGCATTGACTACAATCACCCCGCTCTCGGTGGCGGGTTCGGCTCTGGGTTCAAGGTCGAGAGTGGCTACGATTTTGTTGGCGACAACTACGAACCCGGAGACGTCTACCTCCCAGACGAGGACCCCATTGACTGCAATGGCCATGGCACACACGTTGCTGGCATCATTGCTAGCAGCAACGAATTCGTGCCTGGCGTTGCACCCTCGGCTCGTCTTTGTGCCTACAAAGTATTTGGGTGTGGGGGTAGCACTTACGAGGATGTAATTGTTGCGGGCTTCCTCCGAGCTCACGAGGAGGGCGCAGACATAGTCAGTGCCTCGCTTGGTTCTAACAGAGGATTTGTTGACACCCCTCTTGCGGTGGTGGCAACCGCCATCCAAGCTGCCGGAACCTTTGTCTCGATCGCCGCCGGAAACGCTGGTGAAAGCAGTGAGTCCTCCTCAGTCCATGCAAAGTCATTTCTGACTGATTGGCGTCAATAGATGGCCCCTGGTATACTAGCAGCGGCGGCAATGGCATTGGTAGCACTGCCGTTGGAAGTGTAGAGCATGATGAGCTCGTTGCATGGACGGCAACCGCGCGTTCCAGTAGTGGCGAAACTCGTGATTTTGTTCGTATTTGATACCCTAGCAACTGCAGTTGTTGTATCTTTTCGATTGGCTTGCAGCTCATACATGTTTTCAGATCTACCTTGCCGACAACGGGGTTCAGTGGTCTCTTAACGGAACGGCCCCAGCTTCGTGGGCCCCCAATCCTCGGGACCACGCTGATCAGTGTGGTATCGACTTTACTATTCCTGACACCAATGTTTTGGTCCTGCCGTAAGTTCAAATGACTGCCAGTTGCCCTGAACCTTTCTAACATAGAACTCCAGCCGGGCGGATTGTGGATGGCAAAGAACCGATAGCGGTTTAATGGAAAAGGTCGACTGGGTCCTAATTTACAACTATAACGGCTCCGATTGGGAGATCCCTGGTCGTGTTCGATACGATGCTGAGCGGCAAGCCAAAGGGTGTAAGTTTGAGATCTCTCGCGTGACGCACGAGATTTTTGACAACCACTACCAGACAGCTTGATCACCTACGAGGACGGAGACTGGCTCGTCAGCCAACATGAAAGGAACTACACTGTGACCTTCGAGTTTGTCAATGACAACAAACCTGCTGCGATTGATCGTCCTTCTTTCGCAGGAGGGAGAATCGACCAGTTCACATCTTGGGGTCCGACCTTGGACGCACGCATGGTTCCCCAGATTTCCGCACCTGGTAGGTTTCCCGACCGACCTTAGGGATTATGCGATTGACACTTTAGAGGTGGCTCGATATTCTCTACCTTCCCGATAGGCTCAGGTAGTTGGGCAACACTTTCAGGTACTAGCATGGCTACTCCCTATGTGAGTATTGTCTCGATAAAATTCATGCGAGCTCGAGGTTTGACTGATGCCCAGTAGATATCTGGCGTTGCCGCCCTGTTCTTCTCATCCCGTGGTGGACGAGCTGCCCTCGGGGATGGCGGTGCCAAGCTGGCTCATGAAGTCATCGTTGCTAGCGGCAAACCAATTCGTCATTACGACGGCACTGACAACCTCGCGTGAGTGATCGCTTTCTATCTCTTCTTTTTTAGGAGCACAAATGCTTATATAACATCTATACTCCTAGCTCCGTGATTCATCAGGGAGCAGGTTTGGTTGATGCCTTCAAAGTTGTGGGCTACTCGACCCTCGTGAGCCCAGCGGTGCTCAACCTCAACGACACAGAGCATTTCCAGGGTACTCAAAGCGTGCAGATCATTAACTCTGGGGACGAGTCTGTGACATACCAGTTCTCTCATGAAGCCGGCATTACTGCCCTCACTAAGAGTGCCGGGACTGCCTGGGTATCCGTTTCACCTCCATACGTCTCCGGGGACGGGAATACTGCCACGGTCGTGATTTCCCCCGCCGACCTGACCTTGGGTCCCGGTGAAAGTGGATCTGTCTCTATCACTTTCACTGAGCCGTCTTCACCTGATGCTGCCACTCTCCCAGTCTACGGAGGGTCAATCGTGGTCGCTGGATCTCAGGGAGAAGCAGTACGAGTGTCCTACATGGGTGAGTCGGGTACATTTCAAGGTCCACATCCGTTTCAGCTAACCAGGCTTCAGGAATCAAGGGCTCTCTGT